GACAGAGTTTTGCTCTGTCAACCCAGGCTGGAGTGCAATGGTGTGATCTCAGCTCACTGCAACCTCCATCTCCTGGGTTCAAGCGATTTTCCTGCCTCAGCCTCCTGAGTAGCTGGGATTACAGGCACCCTCCACCATGCCCAGCTAATTTTTGTAGTTTTAGTAGAGATGGAATTTTATCATGTTGGCCAGTCTGGTCTCGAACTCCTGACCTCAGGTGATCTACCTGCCTCAGCCTCCCAAAATGCTGGGATTACAGGCGTGAGCCACTGTGCTTGGCCGGAGATATTATTTGTATTATACTGGATGGTAAGCATGTATTCACTTTGCTCTGAATGTAGATACTATCTTCCAAAGTTCACTATACAAATATCTTCAAAGAGGTGCCCTGAACAGGTTAGTGCTTTGCCCTCATGACATGCATAACTCTGAGAGATGCATGCAGAATTGTCCTTTTGCTGGTTCTCTGCTGTTCTTCTCTACTTAGTCTGCCTTGTGTTGGGCAGATAAGTGAACAAGGCACTGAAGGTAGGGGAGATATATTTTGCAGTTCCTACCCTCTGTTGTAGGAGAGACAGTCTGGTAGAGGACACAGACATACTGCAAATATAACACAGCAAGCCCTGAGCAGTAAGACATGTGAACCCCACTAGCACTGCTCTCACCAAGAACACTGTTTTTTCCTCTTTTTTATTTGAGACATGGTCCTACTCTGTTGCCCAGATTGGAGTGCAGTGGCATGATCTCAGCTCACTGTAATGACTGCCTCTAAGGTTCAAGCAAAACTCCTGCCTCAACCTCCCGAGTAGCTGGCATTACAGGCATGTGCCACCAAGCCTGGGTAATTTTTGTATTTGTATTTTTAGTAGAGACAGGGTTTCACCATGTCGGCCAGGCTGGTCTTGAACTCCTGGCCTCAAGTGAACTCCTGGCTTCAGCCTCCCAAAGTGCTAAGATTACAGGCCTGAGCCCCCATACTCAGCCCAGTGCCTTCCTACTAGATGTCTCAGGCTTTGATACTATTGACTGATCCTTCTTTTTGAAACTCTTAACCTTCCTTGTCACTGTGACCCATTTCTTCCAGGTTTTTCTCTAATCTCTTGCCTACTTTTTGGCTTTGCCTCTTTTTTTTTTTTTTGGCAACAGACTCTGTTGCCCAGGCTGGAGTATAGTGGTGCAATCCTGGCTCCCTGCAACCTCCACCTTCCAGGTTGAAGCAATTCTCCTGTCTAAGCCTCCGGAGTAGCTGTTACTATAGGTGTGCACCACCATGCCCAACTAATTTTTGTGCTTTTAGTAGAGGCGGAATTTCACCACGTTGGCCAGGCTGGTCTTGAACTCCTGACCTCGTGATCCACCTGCCTCGGCTTCCCAAAGTACTGGGATTACAGGAGTGAGCCACCATGTCCAGCCTTGAAAGTTAGACTTTTAATAAGGGTCTTGCAAGATTGGGTGTCTGGTATAATTTATTTCCTAGCATACAAGTCCCTCCCCCAGTTCCTCATTGGTTGTAACTATGAGGTTACAATCTTCCCTGATGTCACCTAAGTTTCATTATCACCCTTATAAGGTTATACCCTGTCCCCTTCCTTAAGTTTCAATTTCCCAATAATGAAACTTTTTCCCTTTTATGGGCTGACCCCTCCTCTACATTCTGTTCGCTTATCGTGACCTTCTAGGTGCATGAGCTGTGTGGTTAGTTACATTTGCAGGCTGGCTGCCAGTACTTAGATTTATTATTCCTTGAAAATGGGCCATTTAAAATATTTTCTCACATAAGTGTATAGAGAAGTTTTGTCTCTACCTCAAGAAATGGGAAGCTACCGAAGCTTAAACCAGAGGAATATATTGTCCTGTTTGATTAAACACAGCAATGGCCAGGTGTGGTGGCTCATACCTATAATGCCAACATTTTGGAAGGCTGATGTTGGAGGATCGCTTGAACCCAGGAGTTCAAGGCCAGACTGGGAGACAGAGCAAGACCCAGTCCCAAAAAATAAACACAGCAATGCCATGTAGAATAAAACTTCCCTGGTTTTGGGGGAAGAAATCTAAAATATTTATGTTGTACTGGACCGAGCATAGACAGTTAGCACCAAGACAAAAGTATGCCAGATTGCAGGGTCATTTATTATGCCGGCGACCACAGAGGACTCACGTCTCTCCAACCTGTGGCGTCGAAAGGTGGGTGCCAAGACTTTTTATACCCGAAAACCACCTTGGGAGTGGGGGTGAGGAGTGGGGATGGGGATGAAAAGGTTTCAGACATTCCAAGGGCCAGGGGATTCTGTAATTCACCTCCTGGGTGGAGACTAGGGTGGGGGGTCTCCGGACATTCCAAGGGCCAGGGGACTTTTGTCATTCTGTTTGTTACTTCAGTGGTTTACAGAAGTCAAGATAAGCATTTGTTTACACATTGTCTGGGTAGTGATAGAAGTCACAGATCTTAGTTATCCTGGGCTGCTAATTTTAGTTATTACCAGTAAGCAAAGGCTAGCAATTCTGGCAGTTACTGATAAAAAAAGGTAAGCAGCTTTACATAGTTTGCAGGACAAACTAGCAGTTCTATTTACAGAAGCCAAGGCCCCCAGTTATTGTGAGGAGAATGGGGCAGCTGTTGCAACTTATTTAAAAAAACAGTTTTGCATTTTATAAAAATGGGGTTGCTCAGGTTCTGGCTCTAGGCCAGCACAATATCACATTTACATGTCTGGAATTTTGATCACAGGATAAAATTTAATAGGGTGTGCTATGCAGATATCATACTCTGGTTTTGAATTGTCGCTTTCACATTCACGCTTTAGTTCTTCTCAAGGGATTCCCGGATCATTAGCCTCAACCGAGGTGTGTCGCTGACAGTTTCTGGCGCGCCGGCGCACTTTATAGTCGTCAGTGTTACATGTAGAGAAAGTGGGGAAGGGTTAGGAAGTAACTGGCGAGTGATTGGCTGTTTTGCTACCATATGTTAATTAGCATGAGTGCCTAACGTATCTTCGAAATTTTGAGCTTATTTTAAAGGCTTTGTCGAACTTTGGTAATAGAAATATGGTTTTTAGAAAAACATATATCAGCATTCTCCAGAGATAATGGTGCCTACAAAAAACTCACCATCAGCAAAATGTGTGTGAGTCTCTTCCGCATCGGGAAGACATACAGAGCAAAGTTAAGACTATACTTTCAGGGATCATTTCTATAGTTTGTTACTAGAGAAGTTTCTCTGAACGTGTAGAGCACCGGAAACCACGAGGAAGAGGTGCAGTGTTCTCTCCTGAGCGTGAAGCTGGCTTTTGGTGTTGTATTATTGCAGCTGCCATTTGCCATTGATGATCGTTCTTCTCTTCATCTGGAAGAGTTAGAGGGAGAGAACGCAGTCTGAGTGGTTTCCGTTTTATTTCTGTATTAAGGTTAGCTTTGTTTTGCTTAGCAAGTACGTGTTGCTATGCCAACCTTTTGTGTCACTTGCTTTGAAAGAAGTAAGTCTTTCGTATGAGAAGCGGTGGGTTATCTTTCCATTTTAGTTTTGAATGGGTTGTGAGCTATTTCAAGTCACTGTATATACTCTGTGGTTAAGTAGTATTGTTCTGCTTTAGTTTTTTGAGTAGTTGGGGTTATAGGGGCGCTGCTGTACCCTACTAATTTTTGTAGATTTGGTAAAGAGATGGTTTTTGCCACGTTGGTTAGAGTGGTCTTGAGCTTTAAATTAAAGGTCGTAGGTAATTCACCTGCCTTGGCTTCTCAAAGTTCTGGGCTTATAGGTGTGAGCCACAGCGCTTGGCCAGGTTTAGGGAGTTATAGTTTTTATGTCTATTGTTGGTTTTTGGTATTCTGGAGGATTAATTTCTTCTTGGTAGGAAAGCCATGTTTGACATCTACTTACTTTTTTCCTTTTTTTTTTTTTTT